AAGCCGATGTCCTTCGGTATCTGTCACGTGACATATATATGCTTAAATCGTGATTTAATATATGATCGCTCTCGATCTTTGTCGAAGCTACAAAACGTGTTCTTTTGTACATGCATACGTAGGTCCGACTGACCTGTTTCATTTCTCAAAGGTGAGATGATTGAAGACAATAATCTGTTTATGTCTTACACAAAATTAATGATATGTCGAGTCCCTTTCTAGAATATTTAATTGTAATGGATGAAATATTATATTGTCGCTTGAATAATTGTTGTAAATATGCAAGGTAAAATATTCTTTTGATATGAAAGTTGATATCTTTTATTGTGAACAATTACTACAGCAAACTATTGTTGCTTCAATATTTAACGTTAAATTAGTTACTAGAGATGCACCGGATATTCGGTATCCAATATTATCCGGCATTTTTTTACTACCGACCGTATAGTCGGATATCATTAGTATCCGGGAATATATCCGGTTGAAATTTGATATCATTAAATTATTAATTTTTTATTATACAAATGTTCTAAAAATAAGTATGCATATTAATAATGCTATAATATCTTATACATATATTGTTACAAAATTACAATTTTTTCTCTATAGGCTTTTTTTAAAGACATTTTCTCGGATATCCGACGTTACATTTTGTCCGGATATCCGATATCCGGTAATTTTACTATCCGGTGCATCCCTATTAATTACGTCAAAAAATAAATAGTATGCATGATAAATATGAAAAGAATCGGAAAATAAGGTTTAGATAAAGAATAAAAAGAACCAGATAAAAAGTAAAGGTCAAGATCATAATCATGAATCATGTAAGAAATATCATTTACTTTTATCCAACAGATATACATAACAAGATGATGAATATATTAAGTAATCACATTTTTTAAGATGTAGTATTTTGTTTAGTGTTCTCGCATTTAATTAAAGAGTTTCTTATTTAAAGAGAGATAGATAGATAGATATCGTCATTTATTGAGCGCTTCAGAATTAAATCTTCTCAAGCGCTGAAACAGTACATTAAAAAAAAAAGCAAATACAAATATAAAAATACAAACATGATAAAACATAGATCTTAATCATACGTTTACACTTAATAAATGATTATACAATTTACATTTAAAATCTTGTAGAGAGGCAGCACTGCTGAGAGAGAGAGAGAGAGAGAGAGAGAATAAGTTTAAATAAAAAGCATCGTTGTTTCATAATATGTTCGTTATTTCTGCTAAATTTTTGATTAATATTTTAATGAGCATTTAATCAATAGAATTTAGTCAAAAGTTCAAATTTGGATCATGTGCATACGTCAAACGTTTTATCGTATCGAGCTATTTTTGTTTCGAAACCATAAAGTGCCTCTTGAAGAAAATTTATTTCGGGTCAGTCTCGCGTCGTAAAGGATTCTTCTAAAATATACACCAAATAAGATTCTGGAGAATACAGAGGAGCTATTATCATGTACGTGTTATCGAGAGACTCCGATCGAGCTTCGACCAAGACCTCGGTATTCAACGCCTCCGTCTGTGCCAGAAGTAGACGGCCTTGATAATATTGCCCGTGGCATGAGATTTTCATCGCGGCGTGGCACGGCGTCGTGACGTCCGAAAGAAAGTCGTGCTTACGTGCTGCAGGAGGTGCAACGACCGGGGGAGAGTTTTTAGGTAGGCAGCAGTTGGATGGACCTGCGCGGCTAGATAGGTCTGTAGGTGAGTTATGTGGCGAAAAAGGAGGTCATGGCCTAGATCGGGGACCAGTTTGGCCGCGCCGAAGGATTCCGATATACCGTTAACATTGTCGTCGCTTTAAATAAGTAGGCTCCTCCTCGATCAGCAAACGCCGACTTCCTTCCAAGGTAACCAGCGGGGAGAGGAATGCGTTTCCCTTCATTAAAACCCAGAGACGGTACGCCGAGCTGCGGAAGGCAACGTCGAGCACGGTCCCACCCTGGTCGATGACCCGAACGAGACGAAATGACCTCACGAAAAATGGTCTCAAGGACGCAATCGGGGCGTATTCTTAAAGCCGCTCTTTCTCTCTTTCTGTTTACCTCAAATCGGAAATTTTTATAGAATTCCTCGATCTCTGGATTCAACGGGCTTTTTTGATGATTTTGAGGATTCGCCACTTGTAAACTGATGGCTTTTAGAGAAGAGTAAAGGTTACCAAGTGATAACGCTTAGGCTGGTAGCGGTGATGGTGTAGCATAAAATTTTTTAAATCATAAAATTAATATTGTAATACATTCACGTATAACAGTAGCATTTGTTACAATATGTATATAAAATTTGTATTGATCCATAATCAGTCATCTGATCACCGCCACCAATTAATCAAAGACTTGCACAAGATTTAAAATAGTTAATTATTTTTAATAAAAAATAATATACTTCATGTGCGGTAAAATGTAGCAACTTGAATAATTTCAGAATACAAATATCTGTTCTAATGTTAAGGATAGCATTTTCATATGAACTTTCACAAAGAATATCCGGAAAAGTATAGAAATTGACTGATGCAATTTCTATCAACGGTCTAGGTGCCATGGACTCCGAATCGAGTGGTCACATGCCAGCGATTTATGTAGCAAAATATAATCGGTTCGTCGATAATATTCTCGGCAAGATCAACAATATTCTGCGGGCCAATTATGAACCGGTGACTGTGAAACTAACGAATTCAAATTCAAGCTCCAAGAAGAACAAAAACAAGACTAAGAGGAAGGGCACCAAGAACGGTACCAAAAAGAGCGCCTCAAGGCCGATCGACACGTCCGTTGTCACTGAAAAGAGTGACAATGAAAATAAAATCGAGGTATGATTCCAAGCATTCTTTTTTAGATGTGTGATTTAAATAATTTATATTATTACAAAATACCGAATTTATAATATCGAATTTTAATGGTAATATCGAGACATTAATAGTTTACTAAAAATGGAAAACTTCATCAATTAAATTTTTAAGCAATCTAATTAAATAACAAAACTTTATTTAGAAACTTAAAAGAATAAAATAAATGATAGAATGTTGGAATCTTATTAAAAATAAAAATTAAGTTCAAGGAAGAATCTATCATGTCTTCATCTGTGAATTTGTCTATAAGTTCGGAGATTTTATGCACTTTTAATTAATATGTCAGTACATTATATATATATGTGTGTGTGTGTGTGTGTGTGTGTGTGTGTGTGTGTGTGTGTATGTGTGTATATATGTATATAATATGTGTATATATATATATATAATTTATATTTACAGAAAGTCACGCAGACCATTGAATCTATAACGCAAATAAACGAAGCGGAAAAAGAACCGATTTCATTGGAATCTCCTGCAGAAATGAGATCTAATAATAGACGTACGACCAATAAGAGCAATAAGAACTCTAACAAGAATCGCAAACGAACGAAGAATAGGACTAAAAATCAAAGCAGCAACAAGAACAAGGTAATTGAAAATCTGGATTTGAATCTAAATAGATTTAAGAAAGACACAATTGCTCGACACATGGACAAAAATGAGTATTCAATGAGTTTTTTTTCTTGTGATTTTTAGACCAAGTCTAAGAGCAGACCAAAAGCGAGAGCCACTCTGTATGGATTGGCATCCTTGCAGAGGACGGGCGACGTATCGGTGAACATGATGAGCGATCACACGACAATTAAGACCAAGTTCAGCCTGGGACCATTGGTGCTGAAGGTCGAGAAAGAGTTTGGCAGAGCCGCGAAAAAGGAGCTGAGGAGCGCGACCGCTACTACGGCCGAGATGTCTGGCAAACTGAGCCTCCGTGTGTTGCACGGCGGTGCGGCGACGCTGCATTCTATTCGAGTTTTGCAACCTAAACAGGTACGTCGACAGACGGGAAAAACAGTTATAGCAATGCGTGAATATCACGGAACTGGACTCTCAAGTCAATAGGCAGATGATTTTGTGTCATATGCTCGATCGTACCGGCTAAATTTCTTAAAAACTTTTTTCTTGATTTTATTGACTGTTTTTATTAATTCATATTTTAAGTTATAATTAAATATAAATAAATTATTCATGCAAATTTAAAAAGTTTTTAGAATATATTAAAAATCTAGAGATCTAGAAATCTAGAAATCTAGAAATCTCTCAAGATATTATAGCATTATGAATATGCATACTTATTTTTAGAACATTCGTATAATAAAAAATCAACAATTTAATGATATCAAATGATTCAAACCGGATATATTCCCGGATACTAATGATATCCGACTATCCGGTCGGATAGTAAAAAAGTGTCGGATACCGGATACTTTCCGGTGCATCTCTAATTGTATAAATACTTTTTACCTTCACTGTATTTCGAATAGCAAATAAATATTTTTTAAAGAGAAAAATTCAATTTTCCTAAATTATATATATTAATTTAGTATATATCAATATTACGATTGTTACAACTCGCGACGTGAAATTCTATTCCAGATTTGAAACGAAGACTGACGTAACGAAACAGTTAAGAACGGCAGTAAACAGCGACTACTCCGTTTGCTTAAAGTTTAATTTGTATTCATGTTTGTGTTCAATAAACCGAATGCTTATTTATTTCTTTTTTTTTTTTAAATCAGGTTCGAGTGGAAAGCCAAGACGATCATGACCGAACGCGGGAGTTTGTATGGAAGAGATCGTCGCATATCGCGCATTTGGTGTCGCAGAAACTTTCCTCGGCCACCAGGTCAATGCTTCGACCGCCACCTGTTTCACCTGCAGCTTAAACTACATACTCCTGCCGCTTGGTCCAACTGAAACCACCAGTAACCACCAATCGAAGTGAGAGTCGATCCGAGAAATCCTCATTGAAGATCGAATGCAATGTGATGCGTATCGCGTTTTCGGAGTACGTACATCGATCTATCGAGTCACGAAAGCTGCTCGATATGACTTCGACAGATTTCTTAATCATATTAATAAATCATTTTTTTTACTTGCGAGAGAAAGTAACGTTGAATGGTGTCCCACTTGCACTACGTTACTTTTTTTGATGATAGATCGCTCAGTCAATTCGGAATCAATTTTTCCTCAAGAGAAATATCGAGGCATCAATAATTTCTCAAGTAACAATTAAGAATAAGAAGCTTCTGATAAACTAAGCTGTAAAAAAGCTGTGACAAAATTATATTCGATTAATGTATTTTAATGGATTCTATGTGTTTTATGCTAAAGATAAAAAATTACAATCAACGATAATTTCTCTCGAATACTTTCGCTAAGGAAAAATCGATTCCAAAGGGATTCAGAAATGATGCGGCAGAAGAGGAATATCCTATATATCATACGGTTTTCACGTTGGACGAATTTTGGCCGTACTTTATTTATTATTTATTTATTTATTTGTCATATAGTTTGTAATTTATCTTCAGAAAGTCTGATATATGTATGTATTCTAGGAATGCGGTTAAATATCGAAACACAAGCATAGATGCAACTTTTTATATGAGATAGGACGTTCTGTTTAGATAAATGTAAACAGAAATTTATTGCCAGAATATTAGAATACAGAGAATGTATATTATATATCAAAAGTATGTTTACTTTATGTGTTAATTCTTATTCCTTGACTTTTAAGTTCCCTACTTTGCAAGTAAAAAAAGATTTCGTAATTTCGTTGCATTTACATTAATTTACATATATTATATTAATATTAATGTATATCGTTACATTACAGATTTAATATATTGATACATTAATAACGCTTAATTTAAAGTTATTTAATTTTTACTGTAACTTAATATTATTTATTAATGTATCAATACATATTAATATTAATATAGATTATGCAAATTTATGTGAAACATTTTAAACGTGCATTTAAAAATAATACAAAGATATTCCATTGATTTGTAATTATATACACACATACATAAAATAAGAAATACTTTGTAGTATACGTGCGTTTCAGGTAAGATATGTGCTTTGTATACAAATAAATAAAGTCAAATAATCCTTTAAATTAAGCGCATTTATCGATGTATCAACACATATTAAATTAGCAACGTAATGATATACATTACATCGCGATGGAAGATTTCTCAACTTTCATTACAAGAGAAATTTCATCAGTCAGTTTACATTATAATGAGGTTGCACCGTTATCATTAATATGCATAAATATATATTGCAATACGACAAACGCATTTATTATTTCTGTTGATATCGCGATGATATTATTTTCATTGCTGCATTTACGACTTTGTTTAAATGTTAAAAATAGACATATTTTTTACTTTACTCAAAGTCGCTGATTCTTTTTTGATAATATATGTATACGCGACTCTACTTGTAATAGTAGAAGAAATTTCTACATCGCATTGATAAAATTCTTGTTAAGTTAGTGCGACTGCGCCGTCGCTGCTAGAAATAAACGGATTTACATACAAATGTTTTCCTTAGAATGTATTACGACGAATGTATTACATTCTCTAGATACGATTCTCAGCTGGGATTATAATTTATCTTTAGTTTCGCTACATGGGTATATTATAGTTTTATCCAGTATCATCGCATAATTAATTTGTCACCAAGAATTTATATTTCCGTCAATTAATTGTATTCTCCGAATGTAACAACGAAAAATTACCGCGCGATAATATCAACGGTATGAAAACCGCGCTTTAAATGACTCTCGAGTAAATACCATTGCACATACACTGATTGTGAATTAATTGCGTACAAGAATACCTTCGGGCATTACAATAACACTCTTTATAATTTTCCAAAAGAGATTTTCCTTTTACATAGTTTACAAAAAGAACTCTTTTTTGCTTAAGAAGTAAATAAAAATGAATTTAGCCTTTGTGCTATTCTGGTCTGTTAAAAATATATGAATCTTGTTCTATATTGATGTTATACACGTATTTTGCTTTTGTGCGAACGTTTATTGCCCTGATAGTCATAACAATTCTAAGCACAATTTATTGGCATAGTACGCGGAGAGAATTTTTTCTTAGAGTTTACTCTGAAAATATGATAGTCGTGGGACAACAATGTATTTCGAAGAATTGTAAATCTCTCTCTCTCTCTCTCTCTCTTTCATTCATTAATAAAATCACAATAAAGAATAAAATAATTATTTTAATTATTATTTTATAAAATAATAATTATTAAATATAAAGTATAAAATAATTATTTTATCAAACTTAAGTTTGATTAATTTTACCAAAGTGCATGGTAAAAATCTTTAAAATATTGTATTGTACCACAACTACCATATTTTCAGGGTAAATTTTAAAAGAAAGTTCTCTCTGCGTATAATGGCCCAAAAAAATAGTAGTGACCCATTGTATTATTATATTCCCAACGTTCAACTAATCACTATGCTATAAGTAAATTGCTACTATAAGGAAAGTGTGCATGACGTATAAATGTATGTGCGAGTATCCGTAATGTGTTGAGTTCGATTCCTTGGGATCGCTAATTATAAAATTGTAAGCCCAATTGAATGACTGTGCGGATCAATCATTTTTGTGCGGAGGAAAAAAAATGAAAAGAAAGACCCGCCAGACGCGCGCGTCAGAGAGGATCAAGTGGCACCCTCTTTCATTCGAATTAGGCGTTCTGTTCGGGAAACGCGCACTTTGCGCAAGCGTGATGGATCCGGCACCGACACGTGCGAATGTTGATGTTGCTTTCGTTTGCTTTGCATCGGTGAAGAGCAAACAGTCGCAGCCGTGACTTGGACGTGGAGGGATTTTCTCTCACGCGGCTCGTCCCCGCGCTGCGTCTCGCTCAATCTCTTTCCTCGGTCCATCCCTACCACTTTTGTTGCCTCTGGTCACCGCCGGTGTTGCAATGCCGTACAATCGCTGTGTGACCGGGGTCTGTAAAGTCCAAGGAGCCGTGGCATAAGACAGCACGGAGCGAGGCGGCACGATTCGTCTACGGAAATTAAAACATCGCGGCGCTCGAAAAAAAAAAAAAAATTGTGCACGATCATACGTTCCCGCTGCCGCGTGCGCGCCCGCGCGCCTCCGATGCTCCTGTTGTTGCCGCATCGTAATCCCGAAATAGGATCAAGGATAACGACGTCATAAATTTTTTCACGTCTACGTGCTACGGCGTCATACGAGAAACCGGTCAGTTGCACATTCGAGTAAGTAATTCTCTTGGTAGATTATCATATTCACTTAAATACTATGTAAAAAATATTGCAAGACATCGTATATATGTATAATTTAATAGATGATGCAAAACAAGAGATTAAAGAAAGATAATTCAATTTCGATAAGATACAAATATCTTATCGAGGATACAATTTTTTTTCCAGATACACACATTTTCAAGAAAATACATTTTAACTCTTTTTGCTTCGTGCAAAATGGTTTCGTTAGTGACAGGTGTCAGAGCTACGAGCTCTCTTTATCACTTCTGCGCTTGTGCCGCAAGGACATTGACTACGAGCGCGATGCCAAGTCCTAAGGACGAAGCGAAAGAAGTGATCGTCAGTTACTTGGATGGCAAAGACAATGGTATTGCTGTATTAGGATTAAACAGGCCTGCCGCTCGTAATTCTTTCGGAAAGACCTTGATCTCTCAGTTGAACGAAGCGCTAGCCTCCATTAGGCAAAACAACAAGTTGAGAGTGCTGATAGTACGCAGCCTGGTCCCAAAAGTATTTTGCGCTGGGGCAGACCTGCGAGAGAGATTTAAAATGGATAATTCTGAGGTGCTGCAATTCGTGTCCTCGCTGAGAGATCTTATGACCGACGTGGAGACCCTACCGACGCCGGTGATATCGGCCATCGATGGTGCAGCATTGGGCGGAGGATTGGAGCTCGCGTTAGCCAGCGATATCAGAGTCGCTTCCTCCGAAGCAAAGATGGGCCTCGTTGAGACTAAACTAGCCATAATCCCAGGCGCCGGCGGAACGCAGAGACTTCCGAGGATAATCGGAGCAGCCAAGGCTAAAGAATTGATCTACACCGCACGGATTCTGGATGGTGAGCAGGCGCTGCAAATCGGTCTCGTGAACGAGGTAGTTTCACAAAACAAGGTCGGCGATGCAGCTTATCAAATGGCTCTTTCGATCGCGAGAGAAATTTTACCCAACGGCCCTATTGGTGTTAGGTAAGTCGTTGATATTAAAAACGTAATTATTCAGTATAATATTGGATTAGGAAAAAGTTCTTTTACAAGTTGGTAAAAAGACTTTTTTAGCAACCCATATATTCTATTTTTAAAAAATTGGCAATTACACCATTTGATAGAGCAACGTTTCAGCTTTAAGAATCTGTATTTTTAATTGCGATACGATGATTTTTAACGGAGTTACGAGCAATAAAGTCAGAATGTTCCTTTTTTACTTAATCCGCGAGTAACTCAGGAATAAAAAATCATAGGAACACATTTTTAAAAAACGATTTTGTAAGGAAAGCTTCAAGTTTTCACGATAGATAGTCGAAAATTTGCTCAAAATTTTTTTGGGCACGCTACAGACCTATAAAGTGAAAAGAAAATTTTTCATTTTTTTCAACTCGTAGTTTTCTGTATGTAAAAATTACAAACTCACATAAATTCAAAAAAATATAGTAACCATTCGAAAGTAGAGATTTCAAGCTTAAAAACTTTTTTTTTTAATTTAAATTTTGATCATTTTTAATGGAGATATTGCTGGGAAAAAGTCTTTTTACCAACTTGTAAAAAAACTTTTTTCTAACCCAATATAAAAACTTCAAAAATTAATCTAAATTATAAAAAGAAATAAGGAGAACAAATATAGTAAAATAAAAATACAAAATGAAAATATTAATTACATAAAAAAGGAACAATAGAATAAAATAAAGAAAAAAATAGTAGGTATAATTATAAAATAAAAAAATAAATTTTTTTTAATAATATGCCTGTGAATTATTATTATGATTTGTAATAAAGATATTTAAAAGTAAATTTGCTTACTCAGAACTGTTGATACGATCACTCACGTATTATATAATACACGTCACACCATATATATACGTTTATCTTTTTGTGCTTATCGAGCGCGAGTATACGTATTTCTTTGACGTTTGTATTCTATTTATAACTTCCACATTTACTGACAATATTTATTTAGAAAAATTTCTAATTTTATGCTATATGTATCATTTAGATTGGCGAAAGTAGCGATATCTAAAGGTATGGAAGTCTCTCAGGAAGACGGTATGGAGATCGAGGAACAATGCTACAGCAAGCTTGTGAATACGAAGGACAGAATCGAAGGACTTGCCGCTTTCGCGGCGAAGCGCGTACCTATCTATCAAGGAGCGTAAAAATTCGCGATGCCATAACAAGCGCTTAATTCACAAATGGAGAACATTTTATATGCGTTTTATATATATATATATATATACTATACGTCTGCTAAGTGATCGCACATATATGTATATATATTAATTTTAATATATATATATATTCCTATTTTATAGAAATGCATTTACGCGCATTGCAAAACGGAAGTTGGTAAGAAATTAATACCAAAAGACTATGCAAATTGCAACAACAGCTGTTGCAGTATTAACCTTGCTCGTTTGCATATGCTAATAAAATGCCTTCATACGTTGTCAGCAGCGGAAAAAAACATTCTACGTCATACTGTTGTCTTCCAATGAATACCGTAATATTTTTCTTATTAACGTTGTTAATAATTTAATTTATATGTTTTAATATATATGTACATATGGATGTGTAGATGTAATCGTGCGCGGTCGTGTATACACAAGACTAATGAGAGTAGAATTTGTTTAAAATAAAAAAAAACTATATTCATAATGCCAATAACATTTTTATTTAACATTTATGACTTGTGTGTATATCAAGGCAGTAAAACTAGTAGAAAAGAGCATATGTACAAATATATCTTTAAGTGTGCCTGAAAACAGTTGTGCTTTTTTGTGGAATTAGTGCTGAAGGATTTGAGTTACAAATACTATACTTTCACCGTTAGGAATGTAACAATTGATAAAAAATGAAAAATAAAGAACGGAACGAAACCAATCTATTGTACAATAACATATATATATATACTAATTAAAAATATAAATTTATATCAATCTAGAAAAATACTGTTATTAGGCCTTAATTATTATACACATTGCAACGGAACATTGAGCTGCTCTTTCTCCCTATTCTCTTTTATGAGAGTCATAAGGATATTCAATTGGTTCATGGTGTCCTTGGGACAAGTGACACGGTGTCCTATTGTCAGATCGCTCTCGTAAATCTCATGATCGTTACCACCTTCGGTTGTTTTGTCACCAAAAAAGTGTATTTCGTCATATCCTTGAATATGACGCAAGCAATACGTTTTATCGCAACCGATGGGATAAACATCAAAAGAGATTTGTCCCCCTTAGAAAAAATATAAAGAAATTTGCTAGCTATAAAATTTACAATAATACATTAATTTTGACATTAATTTATATGATATGGTAGAAATATCCATACAAAATATTTGTAATCAAATATAAACAATTAATATTTTGAAATAATTTAATAAACATTAATTTATTATATTAAAATTTTATATACTACACTATATAATCGATTTAATTAATTGTTATAATAAATTGAATATTTTCCATGTCACTTACCGATACTGTAAGTTAAACCCGAATCAGGAAACTCCTTTTTCAGGATTTGTATAAATTTTTCCCGAATATGATGTTCTTTGTCATATTCATAAAATTGCTCGCGTTCTTTTTTGCTGCAATTTCGTCCAACTGGCGAAATGTTCAACATGCCTGTACGGAATTCGATAAATGTTCCACGCTTAAATGGTAGCTTCAGCTCGGATATATATCGCAAGGTGAAATTTATAAAATCCTGCAGAAAATCCTCTCCGAGCATATTTTGAATTGACTAAAATTTGATGTATGTTAAAAGAGAAGGTACATAATTTGTTGCCTTTAAATACTGCTTTATTATTTACTTGTGAAGGTAAAGCTTTGCCATTCTTGAAAGCGATAAGGCCATTTTCCGCAAAGACATACTTATACTTTTCAAAAAGATTTCCACTACCTAGCTGTTTTTGAATCTTGTTCAAATCAGAACCTCCGATTACTGCAATGTCAAAATCTTTCTTTACAGTTTCTAGGAGAAACTTTTCAAAGCTAGGACTGATTGGCTATAGAAAATAAAAATAAATATTTTTAATCAATAAGTAGATAAATATAATAATAGCACAGTAATATCTAAGAAGAAATATAATATCACAAAAAATAGGATTTTTGTAAAATGTAAATACCTGCAGTGGTTCAGTGAGTGTGCCATCCACATCAAACAAACAAATAATCTTCTTTGACATGATGTAAAATCTTTATCTGTGTAATCTTTTAAGCACCTGTTTAAGTTTTCTGAAACATATTTTTTTAATATACACAATTATTCATAATTAATATTCATAATTAAATAATATATATAAACTGATTAAAATAAATAAACACATTTCACATAAAATAAGACAAGGATGTTTTAATTATTATGATAGATAATTATAGATTAATTTTTTTTATTACAAATAATTTGTTTCGAGACGAAGATTATCGAAAAACAGAGGATATTTTAAATCACGTGTCGAGTTAAAGAGACAGGTTAACAATTGCCTCATTTTTCCCTCTACTTAACGAACATAATTCGGAGTAATAGACTACAAATCATTTTTAATCATAATTCATTCGATTATATATATTTATACTGTAACGAAGTACGTGCTCACAGTAATTTAATTAATTAAATTTAAAGGATATGAAAAAAACTTGAAAGGAAAAAGAGCGTAAATGTAACCTATCCTAATGGAAACGCAATGACACTTTGTCCATGCAAACGGAATCGTTTTGGAGAGCGACTCGGAGCCTCCCGAGCAATGCTGGATTTTGATATATGCGATGCAATCAACGGCATTTTGCTTGGTGATAAGAAGTTGTATTAGAAACAAAATACAACAAAAATATAATATTTAAAAAAATATATAAAATGAAGCATATTATGTATATATACGTAGTCAGTCTGACGTGTCGGTATCGTCAGCACAGTGTTGCCAGATGTTGGAAAGTGCGCGTACCAATCAAATGATAAAAAATGTACTAGATTCGGAGCAATCTTTTTTAAGCGCGCGTCTCTTCGATCGCACTTTGCACAGCTTTGTGCCGTTGAAATTTGAAACGGAACGATTCATACATACATACATGTTGTGTATACATACACGATGGTATACATGTGGAAACGTGTACCGCTCGGCAAGACACGACGTGATAGATAATCGATTCCTTATCACACGCCTGCTTATCGCGAAAGAATAGAAAATTTTTGATCGCTCGTATTGGCACTATTGGCAATACTTGCGTGTCCGTCACGTGTTGCACGCACACATACATACGCATGCGTACTGCTCACGCACACAAGTGTATTCACGTAACAACGATGTTGTGGAACCGCTGTTTGAATAAATTGTTATGGTTTTTGGGCATTATCTTATCGCAATTACCTAACATAAATGGAAAAACTGATACAGCTAAAACTAATGTACTTCTGTTGCTGGGTAATTTACATAAAGTACCTTTTTAATGCATGTTTCGTAAATGTAATCCGCGAATATTTTATCAAATAATTGATGAAATAAATTAAACGTAATAATTTTATATAAATTCCAATGCCTTTTTTAAAAATGTAAAAATATATTTTTAGTAATTAAAATTGTGTTTTTAAATATACAATTTTAATTACTAAATAAGAGACAATATATAATGAACAAGAAATATAATACAAACTCCTTCAGCTAGAAAAAATTAGGTACATTTATAATTTTGCAGTTAAATTCATTTTTAATCCATAATTCTTATGATGTAAAATAGTAGTTTGTTTATTAATCTACAGCTGATGATGCTGGATTTGAAATGCGATCATACCTGAATAAAATATGTCAGACTCCTAATTTGGATAAATTAGCAAAGGAAAGTCTACTATTCAATAATGCATATACATCAGTCAGTAGCTGTTCACCAAGGTATCGTTGTTAGATCCAAATTGGATCTAATTAATAAAGATATAAATCTTGAATTATGTATTTGTAGCCGCTCCGCAATATTAACTGGATTACCAAGTCACCAAAATGGAATGTATGGTCTTCATCATGGGATTCATCATTTTAATTCTTTTGACAATATTCAAAGTTTGCCAAAAATATTGAAGAGAAACAATATACGGACAGGTAACGATTAATGGATTTATAATATCATTATAAATTATGTTATTATAATTTGAATATTTTCTTTGTGCAGGAATTATTGGCAAGAAACATGTAGGCCCGAATAATGTTTATCCATTTGATTTTGCACATACAGAAGAAAATAATTCTATTCTTCAAGTAGGTCGCAATATTACTTATATAAAATTACTAGTCCGCGAATTTCTCTCACAAAATAAAACACAGTAAGTAATATAATGCTTGTATATAATTTCGTTTTTATAAAGTAATATATTGATTTTTTGTATATTATGTATAATAAAATTTATGAATTTTGTATATTTTAAAAAATCATATTACAAATTGTCATCATATATTATTCTGCATTTTCTTAGTTATGTTAAAATTTTGTTGCAGACCTTTTTTTTTATATGTTGCCTTTCATGATCCACATCGCTGTGGACACACTCATCCAGAGTATGGCAATTTTTGTGAAAAATTCGGTAATGGTGATGTCGGAATGGGTACAATTCCCGATTGGAATCCAATATATTATCAATGGGAGCAAGTTAAAGTGCCGTACTATGTTCAGAATACCGAAGCTGCTCGGAGAGATATTGCTGCTCAATATACAACCATATCTCGTTTGGATAAAGGTCTTTCTAATTACTTGAGAAATGCTCAAATATATATTTCTAATATGCTACAAGACAAGATGTTATATTTTTATATATAATATTATGTAAAAGCAGTAAGAATTAAAAAGAATATAATTTTTTAGGCGTTGGCCTTGTTCTTGAAGAATTGGAAAATGCAGGATTCAAAGATAACACATTGGTAATTTATACATCCGATAATGGCATACCTTTCCCGAATGGTCGTACAAATCTATATGATCCAGGTTTGTATATTTAGTTACATTTAAGGTATCGAAAAAACGAAAACTAGCAGACAGAACATTAGTATTTTAAAACATAAATATTAAAAAAAAATTTAAAGGTATGGCTGAACCCATGATGATGTCATCACCAATCCATGACCATAGGAAAAACAGCGTGACTTATAGTATGACATCTTTACTAGACATAGTACCGACAATTTTAGATTGGTTCAATGTAACTTACTTGAATGAAGATTCCAATGAAGTATCTTCTTTGCAACTTACTGGAAAATCACTTTTGCCATTACTTCTCAAAGGTATATATAATATGTACGTTTATTAAATGAAATATGTATATGCTGTCTTCTGTCAGAGAGATCATACTGTGAAATAATCAATATTTCATTTATAGAACCTATAGAAAATAATACGGCAATCTTTGCTAGCCAAACACATCATGAAGTTACCATGTATTATCCTATGCGTGCAATTAGAACTAAACGTCACAAACTTATACATAATATCAACTATAGAATGCCATTTCCTATTGATCAGGACTTTTACGTATCTCCGACGTTCCAGGTAATCTGAAAAAGAATATCCAAAAGATGTTATCTTTTTTTAACTAGAGTTGAAATTGTTTTAGAACAAATTATTAAGTTATTCACAAGTAATTTATCATTGTAAATGCAGGACATTCTGAATAAAACAAGGAATCATCAGTCTCTACCATGGTACAAAACATTAAAGAAATATTATCAGAGACCAGAATGGGAATTATACGATTTAAAATATGATCCAGAAGAATTAAATAATATAGCTTCAAAAGTGTCTGCAAAGGTAGTATAAAGTTATAAGGTAGTATAAAGTTAAGGTAGTATATAATTATAATTATATATTAAGTACATTTCTTAACTAAATATAATAAATGCATTTCAATGTTTTATGTATATTCTGAATTTCAGGACATATTTGTTGAGCTTCAAAAACGATTGTTCAATTGGTTAGAGACAACAAAGGATCCATGGTTGTGTGCACCAGATGGTGTTCTAGAGAATATTGGACAAAATAATCCTCAATGTTTGCCACTGAACAATTTAAACGATTGAAACATTTTTCTAGATGTTGAATCTTGATATTGAAACTTCCCGACATTTTCCTGATATTCGTTGATAATCATTATGCATATATATATTATATACACACATACAGCGTCCTGTTTTTTATAATTTTATATTCTAATATGCATTTCTGTAGTAATAATAAGTATTGAATATAAGCTATATATTCATAGAGAATAATAATAGAGAATTTTTAACATTTATATCTGATGAATAGTAAGACTATTATGTGACAAGTACTATAAATTTAATACTCAATATAATATATATAAATAACAATATGTGCAATACTCATTTATAAAGTATGAGAAAAATTAAAAAATTAAATGATACAATATAAAACCAGGGTTTACAATTCAATTATAATTTACCAACCTTCTGCATTTAGAAATTTTAATTCCTAAAGTGTTTAAGACGGTAAAGTAGCTCTTGACGTTGAGGTATTTTTTGGTTCTCTTTCGCGATACTTGATAAGCATTTCATTTAATTGATGAACATAAGCCGATGATTTGTTGATGGATTTTATCACTGTCCTCAGTTCTGTCGCTATTTCGTTCATCTAAAAATGTATAATTAAACGTCTTTAACTACATTACAAAATAGATAAAAACATTAACTACACATCGATTGTTAATATTTATTAAATACAAGGAAATCTCACATATTGTTTATAGTTCAGATATCTATTATATTTTTGATTGTTATTATAGATTTGTTTGATTTGAATCATAAATAAAAGACACAAAGCGAAGCCACCCAACACGACGAGGGAATTTGAATTCTGGAGTCCACGTAAAACGAGCATCACACTTGTTGAGGTTAGAAAATGAATCAATAAAATACAAATAATCGTTACATAATATTAAATTAAGCATAAGTCAAGACATTAATCGTTCAGGCAAAGCGTTTTCTCATAAAGTGACAACGTATCAATTATTCTGATTACTCGTATTTTTACGTTCATTTTCACGAGCAAAACCGAGCGATTCCATATGACAATATAAAACAGATAATTACAGATTACTTCAACTCGTGATCACTCGTGATTTGAGAGAGTAACCTCAAGTGACAGTTTTCTCTTTTTTCTTATTGTAATAAAAAAGATTTCATCTTTTCTGGGAAAAAAACTGGTATTTTAATCACAATAAATCAATAAAAAAGTCAATAATTGTATACTTAAAATTTATATTGCTTATCCTTTTATTATATTACATTTTAAAATCTATAATTATAGGACAGAAAATACACACAGAAAGATATTTTTCTAAAATTATATATTCTTTTTTAACACTTTACTATATCATTTATATTTGGTTGACATGTAAATTTTCGTAGATATTGTTACTTTATTTAAAGGCAAGTTTTATTTACCTGATTTTGAAACAAATTTTATTAAACAATTGAGACATTAAAGAAACAATAAAAATTATGTAAAGTCATCAAAAACAATAAAGTATTGAAACAAATAAAATAATATACTAAACTTATTAAACTCAATATCAAAATCACCTTGATAGTCAAAGTGTTAAACTATAACTGACATTAGGCTTGTTCATAAAGCTATGCTGATATAAAAATTAATAAGAGAGGAAAAGAAGCGTATGCTTGACTAATATCTATACATTTTTTTTTTAATATCAGCAATATAAAACATTGAGAGAATTATATAGATATAATGTTCTTATTCTAGCAAATCAAAAATAAAATAATCGTCAAAAGCTTTTAGTACACAAATGATCCAATTGATATAAGCATTCACAATTTTTTTTTATATGTTTTAACAGTCGGTGAATATTTAATCGGTATCCTCACATTCTTCAGTTCTTTCAATTCCTTGCGACGCAGTTTGGATTGAAGGCTCTTAATTCGATATCGTAATTCTTTTTCTTTTTCAGTTGCTCTCGATGATGTTTGCGTGCCTACGTTCTGATAATATGTAAAAAATACACAAAATAAATATGAAATATTAAAAAATTTCTTTTAGAATGAAAATTTACAAACCTGAGTTCGAGGAGTGACCTGTATTGCTTTGTCTGTTTCATTTAATACTGACGATACAAGAAATGTTTCTTCCAATTTCGAATAACAATGATCATGAAAATTATTGTTATTTATACTTTCCAACACAACACTTTGACATTTTGGATATAATTTTTCCACTTCTTCAACTATTTCTTTCTATAAAGTAACAAAAAACTTACGTTCGCTTGTAAAATAAAAAAGCTAAATTACTTTAAATTACTTACAATTTTGGCTATATCCTCTGGAAATATACTAGGAACTGCATTTTTTTTTAAGAACCGTTTACCAGAAAAACAATCGTACTGTGATTCGTCAAAATGAATGCTGCATATTTGAGAATATTTTGAAATTTTATTACTTATTGGCACAATTTCCAACCACTCCTTTAACAAATCCTTATTTTTAAACGGGAAACTAAAAAAAATATAGGAAACAAAATTAAAAGTTATGTTTGAAAATTATATTTGAGGTTATATAAGTTTATATACAATGATAATCTACCTGAAAAATGATATATCAACATCTGGTTTCCACGATGCGCTACATCCTTTAACACAACAATTTTTCACCATTTTTTATTGTTAAACACAGGCTGGAAATAGAGAAAATGACGCGTTCACTGAGCGATTTGTGTGACGTAGTGTGGCGTAGCATCCAAAGATTCATCAAAATTTTAGCGATCTCTGTTTACTTGCAATAGTTTCAATAAGATATGATAAGATGATAAAATTTACATAAAACGAATAATCATCGGGAAATATTCGTTAGAGTGTATATATTCATATTTTTATATAGCAATCTCGTTCTCGTGAGAAATTTGCGTAAATTAATCTATTTACAAGTTATTAATTATTTTAATGAAATAAAAATAATTCAATAGAGATCCAAATAACAAAGCATGTCTCAGCAAAATCGCACAAATTTGTGATTGCTAATTGTGCTTATAATACTGGCAACTTGCTAGTAGATTTGTCTTCAACGATTTCGAATTAATATACCGACAGTGTATCTCACATGCAAGTAACGATGTGTATATGTATTGCCAACAGTTTAACGGCAAGATAGCTACATCAATGTTACCTTTCGTTATCGGTTGACAGCATTGTGCGATGCTGCATATTATTATGGCAACATGATGGCAATAGTACAAATTTTGATGATGAATTTTGAGTTGCTGGCAAGTTGCTATTCGAAGTTGTCATATGCGAATGCATTTAATAGTTGTCAACAAATGAGGACTCAGTAGTTGTTGCAATTTTGATAGCAACACATGCCAGCAACAAGATACGTTGCTATCTGGGAAGGTTTAAAAAAAAAAAAAAAAAAAAAAAAATACCAGGAAATTAACACACAAAATGATTAGATATCAATATTATATAATTCTCGACTTTTTAAACAAGTTAATAAAATGTTTGATTAATGTGTATAGAGAATATTAACAAGGATATTAATTTCAAAGTCAATTTGTACATATGCAATAACACAAGTTTACAACCTTTTAACACTGTTCATAATTCAAGGATTAAAATTTTTCTTTACATAAATGTTTAAACAATATCAAATATATATATATATATATAATTATTTGTATACATTAAATTAACTTATTTATAAATTATAAAATAATGTATAAGTGGACGGTTCTAGATAACAAAAGCCATTATGTTTTACATTATTATAAAATATCTTAAGTCTAATTAGCATCAGTTATTGGCTTAATTGATGGAACGGTACTGTTTGCAGAAGAAATGTAATTTCTTATTTTCTCTCTTTCTGCTTTATCTATTAACAGATGATGTAAGGAGGACTTGTCTCAAAAAATATGTCCTTGTATGCTTGTTCGTCAGCCTAAAGTTAATCTATGTAATTCTTATATATAATACATCCTTATAGTTATTTTGCTTATTATTCTATTGTTTTAAGTACAATTTTATTATATTTGATCTTATATGTATATATGTACATACATATATACATATATATATAATGTATATAAATTATTTCTTCTTTGTGATATTGTTGAAAAAATTAATGTACATCTCCGCAATCAAATAATAAAGTAAAAACAAATAATGCAAGAAAATAATACTTAGGAATACCATTTTTCGATTTTGTATGTACATTTATAAGCGCACTGATATATGCAGATGATATTTTGATTATAAATTATGAGATTATATGCAAATAATGTACATTTAAGTTTTTATAGAACACTATCTGTGTACAAAATCACCTCCTACATATATACATTCATTTTTTATTCGTATTCTATCTTATTGTAAAAATTGTTATTTTTAAATATTGATCTTTAAACGAACTTATCAATGATCCAAATAATTTTTTCCACTACATAAAAACTCCAAATATTTTTTTACTGAAAAAATATTTAATAGAGCATATAATTTATCTTTGATTTTATCTTATACATGTTACAGATATTTATAATATATATTTAACAAATTTATCTCAATAAAACTGTGAAAAAACTTAACGGTTGTTAAATAAAGTTACTCATATATCAATCGTCAGATTTGTTTGTACACACACATAATATATAATAAATTACATTTGTTTCTTCAGTCCTTGCAGAAATATATCACAAACGTTTGTAAATTTTATATGCACTTAAACTTTTCCCCCGAAATAACATGATGAGACCAATCTCTGATCTTAAAGTCTTATCTCCATTACTAATTGAATTTTTTCATTTTTTTTTTTCGTTTTTATCGACAAGATTATTTCGGATTGCATTTACAGAAAATTTAGATTATTATTTTAAGAATAATTTTGTTAAATTGTTAGTATAATTTACAAATTATACGTCCACGTTCCTTTTGCCGATTGAATATAACGAAGTGGTGTAACTGTATTCCTAACATCAGGACTTTTTGATCTTCTGACACAATCTTGGCTTAAAACTCTACATCCCTGACTCAAAATGACATTGTTATAACCACGAGGAATACTATCACTACTCGCTACGCGTCTTACATCATTACTTTTTCTCTCATAGTAATTTCTCGACGGCGAATTGTCCAATATGGAATTTTTTATTTTACACATGGATTGATTATTTCCGAGTAATCTTGGACTTGGATCAATCGATACTGTTTTCAGGCTGTGTGTTGAGCAAACTTTTTCGGCACATTCATTTCGTCGAATTTGACATTTATCATTATTTTCTTCAAGTAACTGATGATCAAGTATATGGTGTTCATCATCGTTGTAATTCCCATCTTTATCGGCATATTGGCTCAAAGTTATCGTGGAATCAAGTGAATCGGAGAATTCTGGGCTGGGAACAGAAGACATGCTGCCGGTATGAGAGAAAGCGACCGTCCCCTGTGGGTTTTGGGGACGGTGTCAGAAACATCATTCTTCTAGTTCATCCATTCGATTTCTAACAGCCATTTCTACTACTTCCAGACTTGGATAATCCAATTCTTTAACCAAGCATAATACAGCAGACAATATATTTGAATTCTAAAAGGAAAACGCATATTATAGGAAATGCTTCAAATTTTATCATACTTTAAAACAATGCCATAAACATACTCTTGTTACCGGCCGTCTGTGATAGTGAAATTGATTTCTGCATTTGTCTTTTTCAGAATGTCTTATCCAACCCTGCATTTGATTTGGGTCTTCCTAAATAGTATTAAAACATATTAATTTAAAAAAAACTTTATATATACAGCATTCTGTATTATAATGTCTGATCAACTAATATTACGGATTTTGCACATTAAGTTTAATATAAAATGAAAATAATATAATTATATATATATATATATATGTATAGCTAACTTTTTCATTATGATGAACCATCATTCTTCTTGTTTGAGGTGTCAGAGGTGGTTGTGGCAAATCTTCATATTCTAATCTTGATCTTTCATCATAATTATAGTTATTTCTGTCATTACGTTTGTCATCTGCAAATTCATTGACAGCATATTGCGTACGTTGCGGTGTTGATGTATACATACGCTGAGATCCTTCATTTCCGCTATATTCAGAATATGCTCGTCTTTCGTCGTAATCTCCATTATGTCGATGTACTACTGGACGTTCATCGTAATCCTAAAACATTGTTTTCTATAAAATAATTGCTAACAATGCACAATATGTAAATTATATTTTTAAGAAAATTGTTTTACATTTTAGTTGTAGAATTTCTATCTCATATTATTACAATAAAACAATAAAAAAATAATAAATAAAAAACGAATATCTTCTATTTATCTTAAATATATATAATAAATATATGTAATATATGACGTAATCAAATATTATATTATTTTAGTTCAAATTTTTATATACTTAAGGCCCAGTTTCACAACTTAACTCTTAATCGAAATTTCTCATCTTTTTCCAATTCTAGAATTGGGAAGAAATAATAAATAAGTTGAACCTTGGTTAACCATGAGTTGTGAAACTGGGCCTAAGAGATTTTCATGTTTGTTCCGTTTAATAGAATTATTTATATATTTTATTATAATTAAAACAAATTATTCTATAAATTACAACCTCTGTCTTGTGATTTCCTCCAATCTATCGGTTATATCCTTTTCAAATGTAAGTATAATCAGAAGAGATATACAAGTTTTATAGACTTTATTTCATAAATTAGTTAAATCTTATTTATTTCTAATTTTATTTTGAGCAATATGAAAAAATGTTAGAAAATATGTTAGATGTTAAAGCAATTAAAAAAAAGGAAAATTATATATCATTAAACATCTCCTAAACTGAGTCATACAAAGTGACATGTAGCCAACAAATATTTAAAGCGTAAATTTCGAGGGTTTGTCTAATAATGATTGCTAACAAACGTTAATATGATACTATTGATTATGAAATATATTGTTTATATTATGGATAATATAAATGACAATTGCAAATATGTTTAAAAATGGGCTGTACTTAAATGTACCTTGGATTTTTCAAGAGTGTTAGTGGTCACAGTCTCATTGTTGCTTCGTGACTCTGCACACAAAGTGTCATCTTTGCTCTGACTCTTTGATTGTCCATTTTGTAGCTGTTAGTATAACCAAGCGACTTTAAGTTATAATTATGCTTGAAATCTAATTCTTTTAGTTTAACTGGTTAATATGTTCAATAATAACATCAAAATAATGAATTAATCACATTTTTACTCTAACATAAAAATATTATGTTTAAGACATAACATATTAAAATAATTGTTCAGCACAGTTATAGTTTGTTATTAATAGTTATTTGCTTTCAGAAATAATTATTAAACAGTTTTACTCCTATTTTATGATATGCATGACTGACCTCATATGCATATTGATTATTTTGTGAGTAATGATGTGACGATGACGCATTATAATTTGCATTTCTTCTATCAGGATCATATTCTTCATGCGTATGTTGCGTTTCGTCAAAGCTTCTCTGAAAAGCAATTTTACATGTATACATACGTACATATATGTATATATGAATATGTCTCTATTCTTTAATAATTGATCTTGTGAGTTACCAAATGATTTTAGTGATTGGTAAGAAAATCAATTAAAGAATGCGTTAATTTGTTATTACCTGATCACTAGAAGAACTGTACCTCCTAGATCGTCCCAATTCATTTTCTTCAATGTATTCAATTGTAATATCCTAATTTAGTTATAAATGTTATTTAGCATTTTCAATGGATTGTTAAAAACGCACTTAAAATACACGTAATTTTTAAAATTAATACATCTGCTATCAATATTAATACATCTGCTATCAATATTTGTATACAAGTATATGAATTTTAGTAACAATTAAACGTAAAGCTATTAATTTTAATACATAAAGCATAAAGTATAAAAAATTACTATTGATGAAATAATATGAATATTAATTGCATATAATATATTTTAGTATTCCATCAATTTTTTGTTATCATGACCATATTATTTTTTTGTTATGTTCTTTGAAATATGTTTTTACCTCTGGGCTTACTACATCCGATTGTGGAGAAGCATCTATTTCAAGAGGATGTGTTAAAGGTCGACCTATTGTCATTGCAGTTTGCACTTCTTCGGGTGATACTACTTTATCATCTAATTTCTCAAGATTTGGCAAAGCTCGAAGTACAGACAATCGATATCTATTAAAATAGGATTATAATGATGCATCATAAAGTTTCCATAGTTTCTAATTTTAAGAGTATTTGTTACTAAATATTTACCCTTCCCTTTCTGCACATGGATTTTCACCGAGCCACAAATTTCGTAAATTAGGTAATCCTTGAAGATAGCAAATTTCATTTAAATCTTTGATATTATTTCGTCTTATAAATAAATCTTGAAGTTTGTGGCAGTATTGAAAATCAGCAAGTGTATTAATATTATTTATGCTAAAAATAAATATAAATATAATTATTACTTTTTTATTTCAGATAGAGAAAGAAAGAGAAGCAAATTTATCCTTTAAACAGTTTCAAATTAATCTGTTCTATTTTAAACAAAAAAGTAAAGTTATTAATATTTAATAGCAATTCGCATGTAATAGTTCGTATAAAACAGTTTTATCAACTCATTATTCTTATTTCATACATATATACATAGCATAAAATGAGTTAATATGAATCATATGTAAATATAAATCAAGTTTAATTGATATAAAAGAAATCTACATTATAATATTGACTTTTATTTTTGTTAATATTATATAAGAAAAAATTATTAGTGATTTTTAATGATTTTAAAATAAAAGTTACATGCCTTATAATTATAATCGTTCATTATAATTGTTCCAAACAGCAAATGTATAAGTAAAATAGACTTTTAATAAAATCAATGAAGAAATTGTAACACTATGATTATTGAAATAGAAAGTTGCATAGGAACATACATATATTTCTTTTCACATATATTTAACATATATTTTTTTAAGTTATTTTCTATATAAAAGGAAGAAAATTGTATACGTTTTTATCTCTTCCTTATTTCATAAAAAGCTCATCTTATCTCTTTATATTATACCCTGTAATTAATATGTCAAAAAATAAAAGATCTTTAATCTTTTTTAAAAATAGACTTCAGATATCCCAGATATTGATCTTCATATCTGCTCATTTTTCAATATTTATCTCACACGAATCACAATGAATTTAAAGCACGTGTGGGCAGAACAACTTCTGAAGTTGTGGGTTGTGACCATGAGTTTAACATAATCATGTCCAAAGTAGGAATACATCACAGCCTCTATGTTTTCGTAAGATGAAAAATATCTTAGATCATGATCATCAATAGAACGAGTTTACGTTTCTGCGTAATAAAGCATTTATTACTAAGCATTTTAACTCATTTTAACACACGATGATTTTTCTTTACTATACACGATGGGTCGTTCATGTTCCAGATTAATTTTCATTACTTTTATTAGTACATGTAAATTGTTAAATGATATAATTTATTAAATGATTCTTACATATATTTTAACGTCTTTAGAAAGTTTTGGAAGTTTGTGTATTTAAAAAAGAAAAGAATAAAGATCATTAATTAATCAGGTGCTCCTAGTATTTCAAAGAAAAGAAATGCATACAAATGACTCAATCATGTGTATTAAAGGATAAGAATCTACTTTATAGCGTCATTCTAAATTGCATACTATATTATTATATTATTATGAATGAAATTTTATAGATCACAATATTTTTCTTATTTCAATAATCATTTAACTATTTTATCAAATATCTCAACTTACCTCAATGATAATACTTCCACGTTCTTCATTTTTCTTAAGATACTGACATCTGTTAATTCTGTTCCCCTAAAAAATATATTAATTTAATTCAATATAAAGAGAAAAATATTGTTATAATTTACTTTTTACACAGAGTCATTCTAAAATAGATGATCAAACTTTACAAGAGCGTTTATAATTCAATGTTCATTTCCTGAATTATAAATGCTTTTTATTGCGACAATGTTTATAAACTGAACCAAAGCAGTGCTATAGAAACAAAGTACGAAGTGTATGAATTAATTTTTTTAATAAGTCACATTTACTCAGTAAGTCAATTATTTAAAGCCTCACAACGTTTTACTGGCACATTTTGTTTATAAAAATATTCCTAAAGCGTTTATAAAAACATTCCTAGAATTTAGCTATGTACTGTCATATTATTCTGCACATATGTATTTGAATATAAACAAAATTGTGCTAGACGTAGGTAGAATTGGTCAGGTATATTTCCATGTATTCTTTCACATGCTGGAGTCTCGCGAATAGCAGTTAGTTACGCTCGGGTGATCATAATTCTCTTTTTTCCCATGGTATTGTAGAAAAATTTGATAACCTTGTCGCACGGTTTTGTTCGCATGTGGCTAAATCAAAGCGTGTTTAATTGCTTCGAAACAATCGAGTCGCCGTAATTAATTCATATGACGTATATGGTTATGCCGTTAAAGAGACTGAGAATGTTGATATAAATACTCACCAGCAATTGAGTTTTTTTACGGCGGAAAAGTCTGACACTCGCGTGCGAGCCACGACCATCTCTTCGGTCAACTTCACCATTATGCCATTCGCGTTTGGACGTTATTATACAACAAAAAATCGATGTGCGGTCGTCCGAGGAGAAATTCGGTGCAATTAATTCACGATAGAAATCGTGTACGAGATCACAGTAAATTTTTCGAGCAATATACACCCTAACCGATCGCCATGATGCCTTACTGTCGACTACTCGTCTGACGTCTACCACTCAGCTGCTGCTAGTCGCGAAGTAGGCTGCAAATGCTTTCACTGATCGCTCACTTCTCACCGCACTCTAGTTCATGCGCACCTTAGCAGCATACGAGTATGGTTGGTTGCGTTAAATGATGTCAGGCTCATTCGTACTTGGTAATCATATTTGTATATTTTTTTACGATATTTGCGTCTTTTCGTTAAATAAATTATCGATTAACTCAATTAATTCTTTAATCAATGTTTATGATGCAATGTTTATAAATTATTTAATTTAGACACGATGCGCATCACCCATACGAATATTATATATACGTCGATATTGATGCAACTTGACGCGTAATATACTACTTAACGCCGAGACACTACCGTGTCTCCAGATATATGTATGTTTGCGACGTACTGCGCATTCATTATATCTCCTTCAATAATATCAGATTTATATAAAATATTGATTTCATGGGAATTCGTAAAAGAGTCAAATATTAAGATTATGTGATTGATTAGTAGGAACGTGTTGTCGTATGTAGACTGATTGTGAGAAAAAAGTACTAAATTTTAATAAATATTTGTTTGAATAGTACTAACTTAACATTTATACTTATGATAAATAAATATTTATAAAATAAAAAAAATGATAGTTAAATATATTTTATTGTATCAAGTAAATAATATATTTATGTTTAAATATATTAAATGTTCACCTACTATTCAAACAAACATTTCTTAAAAGTTAAATCAGTATTTTTTTTTACAATCGGTTTAGGATTACCAGTCGTATTCTTTTTGAGATCATAAAATTTCATATAATAATTTTTATTGATATAATATAATTTTATAAATATAAATATTTATAAATATAGCATATAATTTCATAAATATAAAATTTTTATTAAATGAAAATTTTATATTTATAAAATTATATTAATAAGAATTATATCAATAAAAATTATGTTCTAGAAATTTTATTTTATTCATACAAATTATGTTCTAGAAATTTCATTTTATTTACATCATAAATATTTGTCATAATACCTATAGACAGTTTAGATCATTTAACGCATAAAAAAATAATACCTCTTTCTTCTGCCTCGGTTATCAGCTTTTTTAAAAAGCGCATATACTCTTTATTTATAATTTAAATGTTGTATTTAGATGTTGTAACCCGTAATAAATAAATATGTATCTCTCGATTATTATTTTTCGTCTCTCGTCTCTTAACGTAGATTTAAATGCGGCGCGCATGAGCAGTTACAATTCGATGTCTTCCGACAGTGACCATGTTCGTATTTTACTGCCAGTTGACTGCCAGTACTGAAAGTCTATAGTTCCCGTTACGTATACTATACTGCTGCGTATACTGGCTGCGTTCGGAAATGTCGCTCGGATGCCTTCGATGCCTCGGATTCATTATCTGTCTTCGTTTAACATTTAATGTTAAAGAAGGACAGATAACGAATCCGAGACATCGGAGGCATCCGAGCGACGGTTCCGAACGCAGCTACTAACAACTGGCGGTGATATACGAACACGGCCAGTGATGCCAACCCGAGTAGAGGGGATGCGACACAGGCAGAAGCCAAACGTGTGTGCTACGACTGCTCCGAGACGCATCTCGAGACCGATCATGTTGGCAGGCGTTTGTTTCGGACTTTCTCGCGCCTTTTTCTTGCTTCTTCTCATCGAGAGTGAATCATTAGTGCACATAAATATTATTGAGTATTATTGTCGAAATAACCGAATCGCACGATTCTCGTAATGGACAGCAGCGGATTACCGATCTTGGAACGGCAAAACGGTCGTGTCGAGTAAGTTCCGGTGTGTAAGCGGAGTAGGTTTAAATTTTGATACTATACAGATACGCGAAATGATTCATTAACGAATTAATTTCAGACGAAAACGAAATGCCGTGGTATCTCGCTGTCTCTTATCGAAAGCGAATCGTCAATAGGTACAAACAAACGTCTGGAGCGTCGATTACTCCATGTGAGCGTCATAACGTATTATTTCGTAGTGTCATGGCGATTACGTCATTACGGAGCGGTAGCAAATATGTCGGACAAGAGTCGTAACCGCAGCGATTGCAAGTTGGTTGCAGTAAGTTTAGATTTCGACGCTGTGTAGATACTCAAAAATGCTTACTGACTTATTCAAACACGATGCGCATGTGCAGTCCGTAAACAATAGGCCTGTTCTTTCTGGCTGAACTTTTGCACCAGTTCATCTTTCTTCCTCTTCTTTCCTGCTGGAGAGAAAAGGAAGAAAGATGAACTGGTGCAAAAGTTCAGCCAAAAGGAACAGGCCTAATGTAATTGTAGTTTTAATTTCGACGCGTGAAATTGATGGACGTGTGAAAACGATTGGGTGAGTTTTTTTTTAATTTATTGATTGATCAATCGCACTGTGCGCAAATGTAATTTTGTTCTGTAAAAGTTGCATTTCCCGCATAAAAATATACTACTAGTGCAATAAGTAAATTTGAATAGTGTAATAGTGATCCTTATAAGCGCATAATATTATTTAATATTTTAAGCATATTCTTAGAATATTAAATGTACATTAATGCATCATAAATGCATCATAAATGCATCATAAAATTAGTTCTAGAATTCATAAAGGAAACATTTTTTTATTATAATTTTGTTGCGTATCTTCTGAAATATGAGATGCTAATCAATAATACTTATTTTCACAATAAAATTTCGTTGTAATTTTAATGAAATTTTCTCCATCACTATTATACTATTCAAATTTACTTATTACACTAGTAGTATATTTTTATGCGAGTTGCGCATATATAATGCGATTGATCAATCGATGAATTAAAAAACTCGCCCAATCTTATAGATTCATTTGAACGTGAAGTCGTGAATGACGTACATGTGCGAGAAAATTATTCGACGTTGAATTTTTCGTAAGTCCGGCTAGTGACCTTTGGACGGTCTCGCGTCTCTTTATCGTCGAGAGTGAATCGTCGATGATCTACACAGACCAGAGTATAAAAGTGGTGCGCCGAATTGTCGATATCGTACGAAATGTTTCATCGATCGTGACAACGGACGTGTCGGTGTTGATTGATATCAAACGAAAATCATAAACTTAGGTGACGTAAAACAACCTCAGTTAAGTTTAAATTTCGACGCTGCAGAGATAACAGCAAGAGATGATATCATGATGTTTTTTGTCGAAAATATGTATTATTTCGTAATACCAATTGGGAATTTGAAGCGTTTACGATATTAAATTGCGCCACTAATGGAAAATTCGTATTAATTGTAATATTTCGTTAAATATAATACATTAATATTAAACACAATAAGGAAAAAGAAATAATGATTACATTTGAAAAAAATTGCTGCTGCAAAAAATCACTGCTAATTATTATCGTATATTTCGGTTAATGTATTTATTCATATAATGTATCTCAAAATTATATTGTTCAAATAAGAGCTACAATTGCACATAGTTTATACTTGACGAAATACTGACGATGGCGTCAATACAGCAAATATGCGATAGTTCCGCCAAGTAAACTCTATGCAATAATATCGTAATTAACACAGAGCGGATTCCGCAGATTAATTAATGATGTGGGAGTTATTTAAAATATTGATAATTATTAGCCGCGATTGTGATCATTTTCAACTGTAATCATAAACGCATTACTTATCATGCATTCTCGTGATTATAAAATTATAAAATTGCTGTATTTGATATTGTAATCGCAATATCTACGTAATTATGTAATTTAATTGAAATACGTAGTATTTATGTATATAATTGATAGTATTTATACATTAATAATAATAATTAGTATTTATGCGTACATATATATACATGTATATGTATAGATATATACTAAAAAAAAAATAAGATACATATTTCTTTGAATAGTACTAGGTTAAATATTTACTTACAGTAAATAAATATTTACTCAACAAAAAAATGGTTTTTGTATCAAATAAATATATGTTTATTTAGTAAATATTTACTTAGAACTATTTAAACAAATATTTATTAAAATTTTATTATTTTTTTCAGTGTAGCAATTTATACATATATGTGCATGGTAATTGGAAGTAGAATAATGTATGTGGCGATTATACATATATAGCAGTAAAGCCCTGCGCACAATAGAAGAAATAAGGAATTAGGAATAAAAAATAAATGATTTCAACCTATCAGAAACCATGTATTCCGATGTATTCAATTTCTGATAGGTTAAAATCGTTTATTCTTTATTCCTAATTCCTTATTCCTTCTATTGTACGCAGGGCCTAATTCTGACCTTTTTCTTATTAGCCACGATTACCACTTGTAATCAGATTTTTATGAATTTACTTGTAACAGTACAAAAATTTGTTTTGTTTCAGAAAAATAAACGCGAGTAAACGGATGTCGGGAGTGCTGAATTAATATCGGGACATTTATTAAATACATTCTAAATAAGTAATTCTTCGCGATCGATTTACGATGTTGAAAAGAAAATAGTGGACGTGCTTTCCATTTTTATATAAGTGTGAAAAATTGGACTGAATCAAAACGGGAACGAAGGATGGAATTTTCAACTTTGGTGGAACGTGCAACGGAAATACGTAGGACTGGCATCTCGGTGAGTCCATAGTATTCAATAATATTTAATTTTTCGGGTACAATAGTTTATTTTCATTGTCATCTTCAGCTCCAGTACATACAATACTCGATATATAATGATTTAATAATGTCATTAAATACGAAGTACGAAATCTATCTAAACGCTAATTTCTCTAGATCGGTACTTTGTCTCGTCTCTTTCGTACAAATTAAAAAGAAAAACGCTCGATAATTAATTATTGACAATTATTAATATATAGGTAGGTAAGCGTCTTGTCTTTCAATTTATCATAATTGTAAAGCGTCGGAACCTACCTTTGCGAGATAAATTAGATATTAATATACATATTTTCATAAAAATTTTACCCTTGCTACGCATCCGCTTATGTGCGTGCGTATCTCGGTTAAAGTCCTTTTTATGAAAGTTCGTAAAAACATCAAGCGTCGATGGGAAGACCATGTTTC